CGCGCACGCACACGCGCACGCACACACAGCACATCAAAAAAATTAAAGTGCAAAGGTTTACAACAAGACTTGTCCCAGAGCTAAGGGGAATGTCCTACGAAGAAAGGTTGTATGGGAAATCGGCCTGACGACACTGGAGGACAGGAGGGTCAGGGGAGACATGATAACTACATATAAAATATTGCAAGGAATTGACAAAGTGGACAAAAACAAGATGTTCCAGAGATGGGACACAGAAACAAGGGGTCACAATTGGAAGCTGAAGACTTGGACGAGTCAAAGGTATGTTAAGAAGTATTTCTTCAGTTAGAGTTGTCAGGAAGTGGAACAGTCTGGAAGGACAGTGGAGCCAGGAACCATACATAGTTTTAAGACGAGGTTTGATAAAGCTCATGGAGGAGGGAGAGAGGACCTAGTAGCTATCAGTGAAGAGGAGGGGGTCAGGAGCTATGAATGGACCCCTGCAACCATAATTAGGCGAGTACAATTAGGCGAGTACACACACACCTGCCGCATAAACTTTGCCTACCTTCGCTTATCACTGAAGGCGTGAGGGAGCTCCATTAAAAACACCGATCAAGAGGCCATTGACCCAGGGTGGTGGTAGTGGCCACTTGTGTGCCACTACGGGGGAACAATTAACATCCAGGGGTGGCGCTGAAGTGAACACCTTGAAATATGCGACAGATTCTTGACTAAAGTAAGAACCTGGTACTAGACTGACAAAATTTTGAGAGAGAGAGAGAGAGAGAGAGAGAGAGAGAGAGAGAGAGAGAGAGAGAGAGAGAGAGAGAGAGAGAGAGAGAGAGAGAGAGAGAGAGAGAGAGAGAGAGAGAGAGAAATAGAAACTTCTTGTTAATCTGAGAGAAGGGATCACAATCAACGTCACTCAATAATACAGAAATCTAGTCTCATTTTCGACAGTGAAAACGACCGCTATAATTACGTTATGTAAAATGTTTTACTTAAAATATAAAATCTTGTTTACATACGAATAAAAGAGTTAAACTATTTAAGGCAAATTCCGGCCCGACACGCACACATGTCTTCCCCCAAACTGTACTTTTCAATGCATATCGTAGCAGACTACACACGGTCTATTGGATGACGGCTTCCCTCACAATCCGCACCTTCTTCATATATCTTATAAGTAATGGCTCACAAATTGCTATATAGTAGACGTAGCCTAACCATGGCTACAATGTCTCGCTGAGTCACACTGAGCCCGAGTTCGCGAGCCGCATGTGGGCTGGCAAGCCCTGGTCTTACTTTGTAATCAAAGCAGTTAATTATTTATACCTCTGGAATTTCTACTTGACCCCCATGGAGGCCAGGATGCAGAGTGTGTGGCCTAGAACAGTCTATATATGTTCAAGTTTACCAATTACCTAGAGTCCCCCGACAGTAACAAACTGGAGGAGTGTTTAACTTCTTGGCGCAGATAGACTAGAAAGCTAGAACGGAATAAGGCGTCAATTCAATTTCTGAATGGGATAATGCGCTCTTATCAACATACTAAAGATGCATCATACCTTAGTAGAACGGTGTGTAATAGAAAAGAAATTTTCAATATAAATTAAAATAAAAAAAATGATCTAATAAATAACAATGCTTATAAATGACCATAATTTTTAAAGGGGTGGACCGGTAAGCCAGCGGAAGGCCTCTGTCAGATGACCAAAAGCTCCAAAGGCGGGTCATCATCAGACCAAGACCCGCGTCAGGAAACACTTGTCCTGTTTCCTGACGAACCTTACCTAACCTAAATGATTTATTTAAGATAACGTCAGTAACAATTTGTCTTTTGAGAGAAAAATTACAAGAAAAGCTCTTTATAAAAAGACAAGGTATATTAATAAAAGATCAATAGAGAGATTGCAAGATAAAACAATGTAAACAATTCTGCAGCAGTGACATCAGCTGGTTCAATAATAAACATTCAGACATGACATATGAAAATAATTCAGCAACAGATGAAGTCATGGCCGAAGAAAAGTTAACCAAGCTAAATAAAATAAGTGGAAAATCAGTACATTATAATTAAGGCGAGGGCAGATATCTTGAGGTAAGTAACAGAAAAGATAGCTACAAAGGATAGATACAAATCCCCGCATTAAGAGCTCGCCAGTCTCAAGGAACCTCCCTGGACGGTTATTGGTCATAGCAAGGTCCAAGACCAGAACCCATACAAAAAAGTCATCGAGACATTGTAACTCACTCTTATATCCCAGGGACAGTTGGACAGTCTCTCGCATCACAACGACAAGTAAAGCTGAAGCAACTAAAGAACATAGTAGCTCACTGTTGTTGAGTTCAGCAATGACAGTTTCTCGCCTCCTCTCTGATCATAACTTCGTTACCTATGTCAACTAACTTTTACCTTCATAAGGCCTTAAAAATCTACAACTCATTACTCATTGCACATACAGATTCAGAAAAATAATCCATGTAACAAATCACGCCTAAGATGTTAGAGCTCAAAACTATAGGCAACTCTACTAGTAAAGGACAGCCCGTCTCAGGTTACTTAAAAATTCAAGGTAACTGGAACACAATTAATTATAAATCAAGACTTGCTTAGATATGCCTGTCAGACGCTGAAGGTTGGAAGGGAAGGCAATACTGTCAATATTGACTTTCAGCACTTGTATTTCATAGCCACCGCTGAGACGTACACTACTGGTGATGCCTCAGCCACTTCAAGATCAATAGTCGGCCCACGCAAGGGATTCCTCAGTAAAAGCCGACCCAGGTAAGTTACAGGTGACACGGATAGATATTTGGTGCCTTTTTTTGCTATATTTCTGTGATTACTTTGTAAAAGAATATCTTAACTGATCTCTAGACTACTGTAAATGCAGTCCATGTATTCGTCATCTCACACATGGCAGTACAGCACTAAGCCTTAAGCCTGACAAATAAGAGATTCCATTCTCCACAAAATCTACTACGTACAACACGTTTCTATCAGCTATGTATAACGCTATCCTGGTCTCTCAGATCACAGAGTCCTGCCTGGGTAAGACCGCATAGGGTCATCGGTTATCACACACCGTCTTGCCACCCCTCCCCCAAGCGCCGGCACCACTGAGCTAATTATCTTACAAAAAGACCTGTCAGTTTTTTTTCATATGAATAAACCAACTAGTTTATTCCTGCCGCATGTAAAGCAGTGAATGTGGTGGATGTGTGACAAATGGCATTAATAACATTCTCACCAAAATTTCAGCTTCAAAGATTAAACTGTTCGGGCTTTAGCAGATGCAAATTTGTCATTATTTCATACAGAAGTAAATTCTTAGCGTTGTCATGTTACATCATGAAACTGATACAGGTTTCGATTAATTTCATGTCTGAAAAACTCTGCGCCGGTCACTGATACTGGTTACATAATTCTCAAGTCACAAAACGCAATGATGTCATGTTATTTGAACACATGAATTGCAAGATTTTTTTGCAGAATAACAACCTTAGCAGAGCTTTGCAAGTACAGGTAAGTTATCAATGACGAATAAATGAAGCGACTGAAAAAAACTCAAATATAACCCATAAAGAAATTCCCAATTTAACAATTACGTCACAAATAGCAGCTGTGACATCCCTGAAAAAAATCAAAGGTGTGATATATGGTTACAGCTGATTATTATGGTTCAGCAAGCTAGTAAAAGCCTCTATTTATGTAAAATGTTTATATGGTTTTACGAATAAGCAGTAACGAAAGTCATATATGCAGGAAAGTACTTCGAAGCTGATAGCAACTGGCACTCTGAGAAATTATTCTCTATTAAGCCTAATAACCTATATTAGGCTCGTTAATTGGGTTCATTACAACCATAGGTCATTATTCACTCTTTATACATTAGATATCCAATAATGCATCCGATTTACTATTTAATTAGTTAAGTGATCCACCAGTTATCAAGGTTGATCCACGGAAGATGCATTCAAGAGATGTATATTACTTGTTGACACAAGTACCCGAGGTTCACCGTGACATCACATATGAGCTGGCACCTCATACAGTGACATCAGTCACGCGTCATTGAATAGCTGTGTCATAGCTGGAGTCAGCTATTTTATTAATGTTTCATCCATGGCTTTATTAGCTGTGATTCTACAATGTCCTTAAATTACGGCTCAGTAATCTGGATGCTAAACACGATAAACATAAATAACTATGAACTTGCAGTTTTGTCTGAGCGTATCCTAGTGTTTGACTAGTAACTTGTTAATAACACGACTGGAAACAATTTACGGAATGGGCAGGATACAAATCTGCTTGGTTTATAAATGTCTTGCAACTGGTTCGAATCCTGCCCATTATTACAAGTGTCCGTGAGAGAGAACCACTCTACTTACATGTTGCTGTACATGTCTGTACGATCGAAACCTAGCCCAACAAAATAAAAAGAAACGGGCGATATCGTAATATGCAATATAACCACAGTGAAAAGCAGTAACGTTCCAAGAGCTTTCGTGATTTCTCACATTATCGAAGATAATGTGAAAAATCCCGGAATCGCTTGGAATACTACTATATTTAACTGTGGTTATATTGCTTGTTACTCTGATGGGTTCCTTTACTTGAACCTTAATATATATTCACGCAGAGAACCGCTAATAACCAAATTAAATAAACAGATAGGTAACGTCTGACAGTATGGTAGACATCGTTGTTGCATAGTTTGCAGTCACGTGATCGTTATTTGCAGTGAAGGACGGGATTTAGTGACTGTGCATCAAGTGTTGTGTACATAGTCTAGCTTGTACCTGCATGTTGATGTGTCAAGCCATGTAGTAGTGACTGACACCATGTGACCTGCTTCCCACTCCTTGGATGTGGTGTTAACAAGGTATCCTCAAACTACGGTGGAGCCGATGATAAAAAGGTGTAAATACATACATACATACATACATACATACATACCATACATACCATACATACCATACATACCATACATACATACAAGAGTACTGCATAAAAAAGTATGGATACTGACCTTTGAGCCGACCTGGTTGCCACACTGGCCGGCCTGCACGTGAATTATCTCTCTCATGGCGGCTTTGCACGATCTGCTCCAAAACTACTAGTCTCTCTTGAAGTATGAATGGACACACTTGTTACTGCTATTCCTACTTGCTAGCCACAGTTAACGAGTGTTGCGTCAGAGGTCGTCTGTATCATTATTGACAACCTTTACACTCACTACACTGATGGTCTCAGGTTCAGAGGCTGGTTCATGAGTCTTTTTCTTCATCTGACGATGTCGGGAGACCTAGCATCTTTTGTCATAATTAGATTCATTACAGAACTCCGCCAAGACGACGTAGTAAAGAGGCCAGTGGTGATGCGCGCCTCGGACCGTGTTCAGTGATAGTAATGTAAGGATTTAATCACTTCCTTTCATCTAGAGTTTAAGACTGAAGTATTATGTTCTTTTATAATTACAAATGTAGCCAAGAGGATGTACATAGTTTATGACTCAGATACAACAGTGGCCAAGAATATTCCATCTCTACGTCACATGACGTGAGGAGGACGACAACCTGGACACATTTTCCCTGGCTGTGTCACCCCACCGGAGGATTTGTCGTCTTGTGTCACACCAGCAGAGCGAGCAGCAGGAGTGGCAGCAGCAGCAGGAGGCTAAGCAGGGTGGGTGCTGGTGTATGTGTGTGTGTGTATGTGTGTGTGGGTCGACGCAAGAATGTCCACACTCCGCGCACTTAGTCCAGCACACTCGCGCACCCACGACTGCCATCCATTGCTTATCAACCCATACTCCACTTAACTTCCTTAACGTGGATGAAATTCGACACTTCTCATAAAAACTGCATTAAACGAATTAGTTAACCTATTATATTCCTATATACTAGAGGACGCAAGAGCGCCTGCCTACCAATTAACAGCGATAACTTTAATTTCATAAATCCCAATTAGTAACTGATGTCCAGGAGTACCACGTGCCGGCGACATATGTTATTGAGTGTAACTTATAACTAAATTGAATGTTCATTGAGATATGCAAATATATGTTGTGTGAGAGTACATGCTACGGTAGCAAGAGTGTATTAACAGAAGTGTACCGATGGTAGTAATGTACTGATAGTAGCAAGGTACACTAATAGTGTCTGATTGCAATGATAGTAGCAGAATGTAGTGATAATAACAGGGGTTGTAAGCAGTGTACTGATAGCAGAGTACACTGATAGTAACAGTGTACTGATAGTAAGAGTATACTGACAGTAGCAGAGTGTACTGATAGCAGCAAAGTGTACTGATAGTAGCAGAGTATACCAATAATATGATTACCTCTGCCTTCGCTCACAGTCAATAGTGATTGTGGATGGCAGCAACTGACTTGAGGCTGTCAGCCGGAAGACAGAGCGCGATATTAAAGCTTATATATTCCTTAATTTCTATTATTACCTACAAGGATACCTTTTTTCCAAACACTATAATACTTCCAGCAGGTACTGGAGTATCTTACACACAGAGTTGGAGTAAAAGTGCTGGAGTGCTGTCATACACTAGTTACAACACTCCCGTAGGTATGGAGTATCTTACACACAGGACTGGAGTGTTCTCTTGTACGGGATGCAAGGTACTTTTTTCTTTTTTTTACACATTTTCCTCCTGGATACGAACCACAACAGTCGGTTAAGACATAAATACAAAATTTTAATGCTATGTGAACAGGGTAAGTAAAGATGTATACCTGGAGGGTGTGTCGGGGGTCAACGTCCCCGCGGCCCGGTCCATGACCAGGCCTCCTCAAATATGTCTCCGCGGATCAGAGATTTAGATTCAAGATTGTTTTTCATGATGCTAGTGAAGGGCTCCTCATGCAAGGAACTGGGGCTATCATCCCCATTCCTTGGGTCGAATCTAATTACCCTTAAATATGTTATCTTCTATTCCCCAAGCACTACATAACCCCATGCACTGTGCGACCCCAAGCACAATTGTGACCCCCAAGCACTACATGATCCCAGGCACTACATGACCCCAGATACTACATGACCCCAGGCACTATAATATTACTATAGTATTAACACTTTATGTAATAGCACTAGTCATAGCAATATAGTAATAGCAGTATATATAATAGCACTATAGTCATAACACTGTGCTAACAGTACTGGGTAATACCACGAGAACAAGACAAGCCTGGCCTGAGTACTGTTATTGGCACAACTCTATACAAGAGTCACCTTCTTGTGAAATACTGTTTTTACACTCTTGATTATACTGGCTGAAAACCCTACATTAAAGCCCTGTCAAAGGTACACCAGCACCTCTTCTACCCCAGGATGCCACCCGTTACTCACTTTTGGGTGCCTACATTAGTCACAGGTGAACAAGGGGCAAGAGATGAGTAAGGCAATTTAACCCAATAGAATTGGTGTCAACAGGGGTCAAAAAGGGTAGTAGAAAAAATACCACACTGATGACTGCTACATGGGAGAGTCTGGTGTGCATAACCTTATTAAGATATTTGCTGGATTTCGTAAATTTGAAAAATTAAGCATTTAAATAATAGACTCGCATAAAGCCCGAGTTATGTTCCTGAAATTAACTCTTTTTGTGCTCTACCGTTGTGCCACAGGACATCATGCGACCTTGGATTCTGTATTATACGGGAAACTCTACACCTGTTAATATATTAAGTATCATGCAGAGAAATAGCTCTCATATTATATTTTGTAATATTTACTTTCCAAGTAAAATATATACCTGGGCTGAGTGTATCCCACTGTAATGAACAGTTTGACGTTATTGTGACATTCTCCCTTACGAGGCCGTGACTCTAATGGCGGCGCCCATCAACACAACACAAGCCAAGCGAGACTAAATGTCGGGTTTACATCAAAACAGATAGGCGACACCAATGTGTGTGTGTGTGTGTGTGTGTGTGTGTGTGTGTGTGTGTGTGTGTGTGTGTGTGTGTGTGTGTGTGTGTGTGTGTGTGTGTGTGTGTGTGTGTGCTCACATATTTGTACTCTACTCCTTGTGGTTAACAGATAGAGTCTCAGCTCCTGGCCCTGCTTCTAAACTTGCCGCTTGCCTGATTTATTCCCTCCTTGCCTTGTAGGTCCTGTCATACCTGTTCTTAAAATTATGTATGAAATCTTTCTCCGCCACGAGTACACTGAGAGACAACACAATAAGTATCTGGGGCCCAAGACTGTTCAACTGCCTCCCAGCATACATAAGGGGGATTACCAATAGACCCCTGACTGTCTTCAAGAAGGCACTGGACAGGCACCTCAAGTCAGTACCTGACCAACTGGGCTGTGGTTCGTACGTCAGCTTGCGTACGGCCAGCAGTAACAGCCTGGTTGATCAGACCCTGATCCACCATGAGGCCTGATCTCAGACCGGGTCGCGGGAGCGTTGACCCCCGAAACCCTCTCCAGGTAAATTGCTTCGTCGTCAAAGTCATTCCACTTCTTGACCCCCCTGAGCCTGAAGAAATACTTCCCAACCTTACTGTGACTCATCTATGCCTTTATCTTCCAACTGTGTCCTCGTGTACCCATTTTTTCCCTCTCGAGCAGTATATCCCTGTCCATCCTATGATATCCTTGGAGTATTTTGTATGTCATTATCCTGTCTTCCCTAATTCTTCTGTTCTCTGATATCATCAACTTCAGTTCCCTTAGTTTCTTCTCATAGTTAATGCCTCATAACTCTGGTATTAATCTCGTTGCATACCTCAGCACTTTTTCGTTTCTTGATATGCTTTCTAAGGTGTGGGTTCCATGCTGGTGCTGCATACTCCAAGACGGTCCTCACATATGTCGTATAGTCGAGAACGACTCTTTGTTGAGATTCCCGAAAGATAAATCTTAGATTCGCCAAATGAGGATTCAACGCAGAGATTATATGGTTAATTGGTGGTGCCTATGGTGATATACTAAGCGCTCTGCTCACCCTGAGGTCTTTATCATTAAATCAGATTTGTTGCTGTGATGTGTATTTTTTTTTTTTTTGCTAATTATATACACGCAAATAACATGGGGGGTTTCCATGCATTAATTCGAGAACATCTTTATGGATTTATTTCAGATTTTCATCACAGGTTTACCTTATTTATAAGAAGGTTTGGATTACTGCTGAAATGTGTAGGGGCTAATTTACCAGTTATATTAAAAAATTGATTTTTTTTTTGCGTGATATCTTGAGAATGTAACTTCCGAGCGGTTTTAAACTTAAAGTGCCTGAGTACTTTCCTCAAGGGAAGGTGTGTATTGCTATTTTTTTTATATTTTTATTTAAAAGGACACAGTACAAGATATAAATAAATAAAAGAACACAATTATTAACCGTTTGAAAATACAATGACCTACCATCAACCCCATAGCATACCACAAGTGTTACATTCATATTGTATTAAAGAATATACCATCACCGAACAATGAAACGAACAGGATAACACCTGCTCAGAAAAAACATCAACAAATTCTAAACCTACAAATCATGCCTATTATACAGTACAGTAAAACCTCCTTGCACAAGTACACAGATGATATGATGCAGCATACGAAGGATAAAATCATACATTACAATAATTAAACAAAGGCTAACCCAACCCTACAATAAATTACAAAGACATACCACATAAAACTTCCCGCTAATAGCAGGAAACTCTTAACATAATAAAGAGCGAGAGAGCTCCAGCACCGAACAAAAAAATTAGCAAAAACCAAAAACTCAAAATTTTATGTCTGTGTCCACATAAATCCCCACAACTCTGTACAATTAGACCCCTTGCACAAAGTGCACAATAAATATTATTTAACATACAAAAATTAAATTATAAGAACATTAATTTAAACATTAGGCAAACCAAAGCCGACAATAAACATTACATTGGTACATATCACAATGAAACTCCCCAATAAACACTGGGCAGGAAACACCCTCAAGTAAGACATAACATCATATACGCAAGTATCAACCTATACAACTAACAAAATCCTAACATAAGGTATCAAAACTGTCTAGTTACAGGACATGAAAACCTTATCTCCCTATTTGAAAACATAGTAACATCTGTTTTTTTTTTTTTTTTTTTTTTTTTTTTTTTTTTTTTTTTTTTTTTTTTTTTTTTTTTTTTTTTTTTTTATAAACAGTCTAAAAGATAATATATAAACAAATAATTTTTTTTTTTTTTTTTTTTTTTTTTTTTTCCAAGGTTTAGTCATCATGGTTTTAATTAAGGTTATCCTGTATGCAGTGAACATAACCATAGATTCCAAATCCTCATTCATCTCCCTTCCACTCTATTTATAACCCTCCCACCATCCACACTACAAAGAAGCCTAAACCAACTCACCCTCATGCATCCCCCGGTAGGAGACCAACCCTTTGCCCGCCCTCTGGGTTCATGAGGAGGAGGCCCCCCACAGTGAGATTCCGGTAACCCTCCGAGAAGCTAACTACCCACCTCCCCCCATAGACTTGCCTATTCCTACACATAGTTCTATAAAATCTCGCTGCTAACGCTTTTATCCTCAACTCTCCCCTAACCTCCCTCATCCCCCAAGATACATGTAAATAATCCGTCATAACATACATTAAGGCTCTACCCACATCACCCGGCACCCCGGTTACATCCAACATTAAGGCCCTTAGGAATGGCCATTGCCCCCCCCCAAAAGTCTGATAACTCTCACCATCCATAACCTCACCCCCTCCAAAGAGGGACAAAAATATACCGCATGAA